GCTGATGTGTCTTCGAGGGTTTTGTTCTTGATGCTAGGCACCGTTGGTTCAATATCTGGATCAGAGTCGTCAGGGTCATCCGTCGCCAAGGGAATGAACCTGTTTGCTCCCATGAGCTGCTGCATCATCCTGGCGTGGGTGTGACCCTGAACAACCGGTACCCGGTGTCAGGTTTCTAGTGAAAAACTAGGACTGTGAGATACTGTCAAGGCGGTAGGGTTCAAATGTGTCCAATGAATCAGCGAAGCTGAGGAAACCCCGAACACCCGGTACCCGGGGTCGGGGGACCTCGTTGCGGGGCCAATTCACGTGGATTTAAAAAGATAGATTGAAGCTTATCTATCGCCTTGAGGTGCGAATTGGGTGGCTTATGGCTGGCCTAGCTATAACAACTAGTAGAGCCGCAAAAGCTGCAGTGAGACACATTATACCAGTACAGATGTTCGTAGCACTTTTCACTGACGTGACATTATCAATAGCGGAAGTAGGATGTTGATGACCGGAGACAAACGGACGTGGGACACAAAACAGTCAAGCCTCACCCAGTGAATTACCCAACTACAGTCCCTTTACGCTAACTTGAGGGGTCAAATATTAAGTTACTAAGCCCCTAAAGTCCACCAATTTTGGGGGGTCACACCCTGGCGCTCATCTGCTTTTCTCTTGGCGCGCTGTGGAGTATGGCTACAAAATGAGCCGGCACTGGTGCCCTCAGGGCAGCCATATGCACATCGTGCTTATTGGCTGCAGGGTTTTCAATCGATGATTTCCATTTCAATATCCATGAACGGAGAAGCTTGAGGAGTGTCAGGTTCCTGGCCATCTTGTATTGTCTTAAGGCGTTTCGTGATGCGATATAGATTTTGGCGGGCACTGGCAAGTCGCGTTTCATGGTACGTTACTTTCTCACAGGCTGCCCTCTGCAGGTTCTGCAATGTAGGAATGTCCGCTGCAAGGAGGTCAACTTCCTGGTCGGCTTCACTGGCAGGTTCTGGGCTGCTAGCAACAACTGTAGCAGTGACTTGCGTGTCTGGCGATTCGTTTGGTGTGTCGACATGCGTAGATTCTTCTGTCGGTATCTCTTTGTCCACTCCAAGTTGCTCCTGTCTCGGAGGTTGTTGCTGTTCAGCTCTGGTTTGTGCTGGGGAGTGAGGAGAGTTTGTGGATAACGCACCGGTACCCGGGGTATCCGTCTTTGGTTCACGTGTGGCTGGTTGTGATGGTGGCGTTGGTCTCTGGTTGAATAGTGATTGTGCACTGACCTTAGGCGGCCGGTGGCTCTCCTTGGTGGGCTGGGGCCTCTGCTGCCGCTTTGGTACTTGTTTTGGATGGTAGGGTGGCGTCGGCTTCTCCTGTTTTTGGCTGGCTTGCAGCCGGCAGGCTAGCTGGTGTTGTAGGCTGAATGGAATGCGTTGGTCGGCTTTCTGCAAGCGTCCGTTGGCTTGCTTTGGCAAAAATATATTGCAGTTCCATATATTGCCTTTCCCGATCAGCGACTTGCTGCGGTGTGTTCTGAGTTCCCTTCGGGTCCTGTGGAGTAGCTTCTTGCGGTGCTTGCCCGGACTGTTTCTCCTCGGGTCGTTCCGTCCATCGGTTTGGTTTCGGTGGAGTCGGTGGCTGTGAGCGCTTAGCGGGCTGGGAAGGTTTAAGCTGATCCAGGCGTGGTTGAATTTCATCTCTCAACTCAGGCGGGTATGACTCTCCTGTCTCAGCTAACCATTGTATGGTATGCTCGTGCAGCCACAACGTCGTTCTCCACAATGGGATAGTTCGATCATCATTTATCCAAAACAGTGGAGTAGGCGGTAACAATTCATGGGCCTCTACAATCAAGGGCAACAGGAAGGCCAATTTCTTCTGTTCATGGAAAATCGCTGCCCCGTTCGGATGAACCTTAAGGTAGGTTTCCTTCCACACAAAGGGTTTAACGACTCGCATGGTGTGGGCAATTTCATTGAAAATGGAAAGGCGAATTGCGGTATACGGTGGGGCGACTCCATAGGCTCTTCCATCCCAGGGCAGTTCGAGGAAATTCCACCGCTCTTTTCGGGTGTGGTTGACAACTTCCCAAAATTCCGGTGCAAATTCTTTCTCAAGGGCATCATTGAGTGTAGAGAAAATAAGCCATGGGACCTCGTCAATATACAAATGGTATTCTACTAGCGTGAATTCATACGTTGTTCGGCAATCTCCTACCCAGAGCGTGCCACTAACTGCAAGGAAGCGGACTTCTCTGGCATCTGGCATGTTCCAGTTCATCCCAGCCGATATGTCTGTTGATCGTGCATCCTCGACTACGATTGGTCCAGATGGGAAATGAGTCTGTTTCGGCATACCAGCAACAGGTACCCTGCAGTGGTTGCACTAACCCTGGCAATGGAGATGCTTGCGCAGTGCACGGGTAAGGCCGTCAATCGTTATTGATGTCGGCAGCCAAACAACGGGAACCCCGCGTCGGCACTAGCGCAAAAAAGGCAGGCAGATTAAAACAGTAGGGGGAAGACCCTTTGCAACACTGACTTTGCAGGTGCCGGGATCCACCACCAAACTTCGAGCCACAGGCTGCTGACAACGCATGAAATGAATACTTGGAGCAGACAAATAAAGCAGAAAGACAACTCACAACTAACCGGAGACACATTTTCGCCGTTTCCTGGCGTTCGGTTGTAATTATTTTTTTAAGATCAATATAGTTTAGAAAAAAGAGCCACTACACGCTACACGCTGGATCTGTTTTGCTGGTTTTTTCCACGGTAAAAGGCGTGTAGTGCCACAACTGTCGTACTAAACGCTCACCCTCTGTAGGTTCAGTGTCACACACGCCGTACATACCGCACCTGCCACCAAAATCTGCACTAAACGCTATCAGTTTTCACACCGTGACTGCCAGAAGTATTGCACATGCCAAGCAAATCAAACCCGCAGGGGCGACAGCAAAGTTAGCGCAAAACAGCGCGCTTTCTGCAAGACGAGAAAAAGGTATTTGCATCCTCTGTTGCAACTCCGGTTCTCGACCGTGCGAACTTGGAGCAAACAAAAAGCCAGTGCCATTGCATTTGGGTCATTCATTTGCAAGTGGGTTTTTCATGTTTGAGTCTTAAAGAGGACAAGTAAAGATAATGAAAAGTCATAAAAGTGTGATGTTGCATTTAATGTTTATCAAAAGTGGGTCTTAATTATTTCATGTACTAAAGTAAGTGGCTTCAGCATAATAATTTCGTAGACACATCATGGTTCCAGGTGCGGACATGGGGAAATCATGGCTGGGGGTCTGGATACCGGCCCTCAGCATTCTTGGTTACATGTGACATATTAGGAGCATGGTCGCTACCCATTAGAATATTGTATGAGACCACTCACCCCCTACTGTTACCATAACCATCCATAACTATAACCATAATCTTACAAAAGACACACACACACACTTTGCTACTGCCCTCCGTGCCAGGTTCAAACTTGTCCGTGCCAGGTTTTGCTTCTTGCAAAAGGGCCGGAACCTTGAGTTTCTCTTTAAGCTTGAGTTGTTCAATTGATAACTCGAATAATGATAGCATTTACCATCAATGACCAGCCCATTTCTAATACCAGTCAATTGATGGCAATCTTTCATGTCTAATACCAGTAAATCTATGAAGTAATGTGGTTCATGTCTAATTAATCTGTATAAATAATCTTCATGAAATCATTAAGGGGGGGCAGGGCGGACTGCAAATGCATGCCTCACAGGCTCACACTTCACTGGTCCTCGCTTTGTCCAGCCGTCAGTCATAGAGTCAGAGCAATCATTGTTAGTTAACATGTTATTTCATATCAAGTGATCCACAAAGATAGCTGATATTATCATGAAATTATCTGCATTGAAATCCGAACTTCATTGGTTTCTTGCATGTCTCATTTTTCAGGGGTTCTTACAAATCATTACTATTTCCATCTTATATAAGAACAAACTCGGAAGAATGAGAGATGAAGATGATGATGCATTAAAATGACGTCGTTGCATCATCTGTTTTGATATCCGTATCAGGACGTATATTGGCCGAGAAGTATATATAAAGTTATATACTTATATATAAACGTAAAACGGAATTGTTCCGTCGATACGCGTTGGTCGCAAAATAAAACGTCCTCGTGAAAAATAAAAATGACATCACATGGCAAAATTGAAAACGGACAGCTGTGCACACGATTCGGAAATCAGCAACTTTTCTTTCGCGCTCTGAAGGTCTGGGGCGATCGCAAAGTTTGTTGCGTCTGAGCATGTTTTCGGCAGTTGTAGGAATCTGCCTATGGTGTGTGAATCTCACTTTGTGAGTTGTCGACACATGGTTGCTCAGTTTGTGTCCCCCCCCCATAGGGTTTGGGAGGGTGGGCCGAAAATTATGGAAGGTAGAAGAAAAGGTTTTTTAACCCTCCCTACCTCACCCTTGATATGTAAAATGTCACACGAAAGTAGATTCAGATGTGTTACCAAGGGAGTTTGTGGAATTGTTTGGTTTTAAAAGGATGTTGAAATTTGGTTCAACAAGCAACGCATGTTGACGCAAGACAAGATTGAAGTTTAGATTTACTTCCGAGTTGCAAAAGTTTGATGGAAACTTTTGCACTGTTCTTTTAAAGATAGTGCTCTCACTTCGTGACAGCACTCATCTTATATAAGAACAAACTCGGAAGAATGAGAGATGAAGATGATGATGCATTAAAATGACGTCGTTGCATCATCTGTTTTGATATCCGTATCAGGACGTATATTGGCCGAGAAGTATATATAAAGTTATATACTTATATATAAACGTAAAACGGAATCGTTCCGTCGATACGCGTTGGTCGCAAAATAAAACGTCCTCGTGAAAAATAAAAATGACATCACATGGCAAAATTGAAAACGGACAGCTGTGCACACGATTCGGAAATCAGCAACTTTTCTTTCGCGCTCTGAAGGTCTGGGGCGATCGCAAAGTTTGTTGCGTCTGAGCATGTTTTCGGCAGTTGTAGGAATCTGCCTATGGTGTGTGAATCTCACTTTGTGAGTTGTCGACACATGGTTGCTCAGTTTGTGTCCCCAGGTGTTGAAGAGCAACTTTGTATGGAGATCGATGCAACTCAAGGACCAGTTGTTCCAAGGGGTCAGAAGCATCTAGAACTCCGCCGTTATCAAGGTTGTATTGGCTTAGTGCGACTTCCAATTTTCCACGGGATGGAAGGTCTGCCGGATTGGAGAAGGAGCAAACGCGTTCCGTCCAGGAAAAGCTGGGCCAATTAATCTCCAAGTCTGCCAGAATGCGAGCTAAAACTTTCATTGAAACGGAGGGGCTGTTCGATTTGATGGCGCTAACTCTCGCAGCTTCATTGTCAATCCACTCGATGACTCGACGGCCATGCAAAAGTTTACGTAAGCACCATCGGACTGATACAAGAGCCCACATCTCAACTTGGGAAATGATCTGTTCTCCTGCAACCCTTGTCCAAAGTTTGACCAAAGATTCTGGGACCCTGATCACGTAAGCTAATCTCATGGGGCCATCAACCACCACCGCTCCAGCAGTTGCGACCCCGTTTTCATATGCACCATCTGTGAAAATCAAGACAGGCCGCGTAGTCACGGTAAGGGAATGTTCACGAGGTCGCTGGCTTTGCAACATGGTCCTAGCATATGCGCACAGAGCAACCAGTTCATCCGCATGCGCAGCTTTATGACCCTCGGTGAAAGGCATGAATGCTGAAACAAGGTGTTTGAGTCCACGGCCCATGTAGAATCTTACAGCAAAATTTAATAGCCCCTGAATTTCACTGGCTTTGGCTGGGTTTATGGATCTCGTCTGCTCGATGTCGGCCAACATACTGCAAATCTTGTCAATGCGGGACTCCTTGTTCATTATTTTGAGAACCCCTCGAGGCACACTGCAAAGGTCAAAGGTGACCCCCAAAAGATCAAACGCTGCCGCAAATCCCAGGGCCTTGTCGCCCTCTTTTGCATGTTCCCATCCAAGAAGATCCAATATCGCGCTGAAAGCAAGTGTTAACACCTTGCACCCTTCGGTACGCTCTATCGTAGGGAAGTCATCGAAGTAGTGAGAGGTGATGCAGTGAAGGGTTTTCGAAACAATGAACCATATGGCTTGTGATACTCGAACGAAACCATAGACACTACCAGTGCATCCAAAGGGAAGTGAAATGCTCTTGTAAAAACGCCAAACCCCCTTCACGGGGAAACCAACCACCGCATGCACTTGATGTTCTGGCAGCACTGCAAGTTGTTTGTAAGCCTTGCTCAAGTCAAAAGTCTTACCCAACCATTCCAAAGACTGCGCATCCAGCTGAGAGGATGCACGAATGATTTCAACTGCCATGGACGCTGCATAATCTACGTCCTGCAACTGCAACTTAATGGTGGATGAGTAGGCTGCATTGACAGAACCTTGCTTGGCATCGTCAATGACACGCACTTTGTTGTTTGATCCTTGGAAAAGAACGAACCTAGGATTGAGGGTCCAGTCATCTGAGCCCATGAGCACTGTCATTTCGTCCTCAGTATATGGCCCCTGCAAGAAACCTCTGCTGACTTCAGACGCGGTGGCTTCTACCAAAGCTTCTTCCTCAGGAACGCCAAGACTTCGTGCGCTCATCATGATGGCCTGGCGGCGCCACCTGGCCGACTCGCAGAGCTCGCCCTCAGTCATGCTAGCTGGAACCAAGTGTTTCAAGTAACCATTTGGCGCAGCTTGAAGCCCCACAAGGGGAACCCCAAATTTCAAAAGGTTCACCACATTCAGGTCCCAATATTCCAGGTTCGACAAGAGGCGTTCAAAAAGAATGATGTTCTTTGTCTGAACACATTTTCTCACGTCGGGGTGCATTGAGGCTTTCAATTCACCCTCTTCTGTTCTCAGCTCATCAACCATTTTCCTGGTCTTGAAAACGGCAGCCAATCTCTCTTTGGCCAGCTTGGTTGGGCAACTGCCGACCACTTTGTGTATGGCATCGACTGTGATGGGGTGTAATACCGAGTCGTGGTCCATTGGATGTTTAACTTCTGATGCTTTCTGCAAGAATTCCTCTGGAGTATGCCAAACACCATATTTGAAAGTTGTTCTGGGCCGCTTTGTGGTGTGCTCCTCAGGCTGCTCAGTGTTCTCTGCCCCCTGTGTTGTTGGAGTAACTTGTAAGCAGCATCCGAAGAAGGCATGTCCAGGTAAACGTATGTTTTATATTCAGGAATCAGAGGAGGATGTCGAACTGTTTGATGCCCTAGGTTCAGTTTCAACAAGTCTTTGAGCCGCTGTCGCACTTTAGGCTCAACGCCCATTGAGTTAGCCCGCTGCAAAATGCAACTGGCCATTCTCTGGCATAACAATGGTGGATACTCAGCTTCGGCCGCTGTTGGAAAAGCAATGCCATGTTCAGTTCGAAAAGGTTGCCACGAAGAATGCACGTGATCTTTCGTGCAACTTGCTTCCAATGAAGTAAACAAACCAGGTGTCGAAAGCAATTTGGTTCTTTTATCCCTTGTGCTTCCATGCGCACATGCATCAAAATAAACGCTTTCCAAGTTTGCAAACCATGAAATGAGGCATGAATCCTGTGTCTCCTTGACCAACATTGCAAGTAAAGCCCATAGCCATGAACGTGCCGGATTTTCGATAGAAAGCAAACATCCTATCGTCATGCAAACCCGCAACAAGTGAATGGCACATCGATACAGCTTGTTGGCAGGGTCAACCTTAGCTTGATCAGCTGCTCTAAGGTTTGGGAGGCCCATGAGGTGGTTGGCATCTCGCAACGGCGGTGGGCCCATGTGACCACCGAATTTCGCAGGCATTGGTTTTTCTCTTGCTCTTGAGCATGTTCCAGGCACGGTCTGCAATGGTGCAACATTTGTTCCAAGAGCCGCACCTGGTCTGAATTCGAAACATCTAGAGTGAAAACTTTGACCTTGGCAGCATGGCGATTTGCAGCATGATCAATCGGATAAACTTGAAAGCCCAGACGCCTTAATGCGTCAGACAATCCTGCCGAACCACAACAAATTTCAAAGGTTGTAGCTTCCATCGTGAAACTTTTACTGCCGGGGTTTGGCGCGAGTCAGTGAGGGCATTCATTGCCCGGATGCAACTTATGACAATTCTTCTTCCAACACATATGATATCCGACCATGCATCGCTTGCCCGGCTTGATCTTAGCTGTGCATTTTCCAATCTGCCATCGCTTGCAAAGTTGTTTGCCATCAACGTAAATCTCGCAGTCGTCGGGCACGGCAATGCCTGGCTTGCCCTTTCCCTTTGCTGACTTGCCTTTTCCATCAGATTGCTGGAAGCCTTTGCCCTTGCCCGTTGATGAAGACGGCTGATGTTGATCGTTCTTGTATCCTCCAAGACTCTGCAAAGGATTCAAATGTTGGAGAACTTCAGGGTGCTCCGCAAACTTCGTAAAGGAGACGTCAACTGGTTTGTCTGCACCAGTCTTCGGCTGCAAGCTGCCGCGCGTATCATTTGAAACCTTTACCCAAAGCGCCTTGTCTGCATTGATGGCCTGCTCAACGCTGATGTGCCTATAGCTGGCAAGTGGTGCCTCATTCATTTTCTCAAACAGCTTTTGAGTCCACAGGTCCAAAACAGAGAATGAAGCGATGCCCGACAGATCATATGCTAAAGATCTCCTGAGGAAGGCTTGACGCAACTTGTGCTCACCAGTAACGTTCACATCGTCCAGCCTTTGCTTTTTGCTGAGTCTAAGGCCACCTGTGTTGTCCAAAGCAAGTGCTGTGTCAACCTTGGAGTGCAGCGCTTCGTCTTGCCTTGAAGAACACTTTTGCAAATCAATGTACGTCACCACATTGTCCTCCAACTGTTGACAAACCTTGTCAATCAGTGAGTGCGAAGGCTCGCACTGAGGTGTAAAACTGATGCCTGTTAAGCGATTCTTCTGTTGATTGATTCTGTCCATTTTCTCAGCTAAAGGTAATATACGTGCTTCGCTTGACTCTGATCTATCTGCTCTCGACTTCAAGTCCTCCAGTGAAAGTGCATGGGCTTCAAAGAAAAGCCTGCGAAATCTCGTGGTTGATGCCGCATCTGGTGCGGCTCCCAAAGCTGTCGTCAGGAAGGTTGTCAAGGCAGCATCATCTGACTGGCCAGGCTGAAACGCGCAACAGTATGCGTAAGTTGCGTAACTGTTGATACCACTAGCTTCCAAAGAATCAACATCCGCTTGTGCAATCCCCAGTTCGACTGCACGGTTTTGAAACGCGACTTTTGAATCAATCGCCATCTTCCATCAGGAACGGCAGGTATACAAGATTCAAAAAGTCACCATAAAAAGTCCATCTTTTTGTGTTGCAATACTGTTATGGTCCTATCCAAACCAAAAGGAAAACAGCAAAGTGTTAGCGTGGGATCATGAGGGAGCTTGCATGATGTTTCATGTGATCCGGTCATGCACCTGTTGCTTAGAGCCAGCGCAAGATGCATTCACATGGAGTGAGTTGAGCCATCTGGTTCAGGCAGCCTCTGCCGCATGATAACATGCTAGGCATTGGGTTACCCTAATGAGAGATTGATGCACTCATGACTCAAAAGTGATACACTTGCAGCTTGCTCAAGGTGTGATGCGGTCAATGAAATCACGAGTCTCGTGGTGACACATTGTAAAAACTTTCAACGCAAATCCTATCACTTTCGAACTGCAACATGTGAGTTAATTAAAACTGATTGGATTTTTTGCACCTCATGTCGGGCTTGAAACATCATCCGTGGCCAGCTGCTCTGTAGGAGTGCGAACAATTGGCACATATCACCGCCTCTGTCGCATTCAGATCTTCACGCGATGCCTTTCTAAAAGAGGCTGATGGGTGTCTACCACACCAAAACTTCTCATCCTCGGAAACAAGCAGATGAATCACCTGTGAATTGGTATTGATCAGGCACAGATCGGCCTCCATGTTGTCAGCATCAAGCCTTTTGAAATGAGGCTTCTGTGATACACTGTCATGCTCACCATCCGACGATGCAATTGAGGACGCATCCGAGTCTGATGATGATTCACTGCTGTCATCAGCACTTTCATTCTCCAAAATTGCATTGTAAGCCAGCTGGAAAAGCCGATTCACTCTTGTCGCGTCCGGGTCAAATTGTCCATTTCTGATCTTGGCAAACATCTGGTTCAGCTTGTGGCACAACTTGATTTGATTGTCCCTCGAATAGATCATAGAGGACCGATACAAGGAGTGCACATGATGACCCAAAGCAAGTTGCTCGTCTGCCGTGAAAATTGTACTCTTGGCCGCCCAACTAAGTAAGGTGGCCTTGAGGCCATGCACTGTCAACTTGACCGCACGCTCAGGCCCAACATGCGGTTCAAGAAGCTCACGCAACCAGCCCGTCGCTTCAGCAGTTGACATCCTTGAATCCACCCAGCAGTGAGCGCTCTCGGACCAGGAATTCAAGAAATGATTCCAGCTTTCTGCATGAGATTCCTGTCTGGCTTCAACCCAGCTGCGACCCCAAAAATCATCTATTGTAATCCTTCCCAGGGCCGTGAAAGGCAACAATTCCATTTGCTGCTCCTTCCCTCTTGAAGATTTGTGTTTCGATGTTAGGGCCTCCAGCAGGGAGATGTCACCAGCCATTGACGATTCCAATGCAACAACATACATCGAGTCATGCCAACGTGCTGCAGCTGCAAAACTGAAAAGCAGGTGTCCTGCAACGACCCTCCGATGAGATTCAGGATCGTTCACGCATATTTGCTCAAGCTCTGAAACTTCGCTGACCGTCAGAGTTTCTGCAGGCTTTCTGATTCTCTTTGTCATGAAAAAGGAATGGGCAGCACCTGTAACTCTAGAACTGAGTACATCTTGCAACCGCACCTGAGTGAAGCCCAACAAGTTGTCAGCAAACATCAACGCTTCCACCAGTTGCGATGGGGTGGTCGAGCCTGCTCCAACATCCCTCAAATGACATATGTACTTGTACAGCATCATCTCGCTTTGAGAAAAAGGAGACCCTGCACATTGTGATTGAAGCCAGCATGAAAACCTCCACAGTGAATTGGACCTTTTCAAAACTGTTCCAGTAGCTTTTGGTGCAAAGACATCCATGAATATCTGAGACAGCTCATCGTTGGGACATAAGGTGCCAGCAAAACTCCTCAATGACTGACCTAAACGCGTGCAGTCCAAGTCCAGCAGAACCATCGTCTTGAACCTTGACAAAGCCAAGTGCCTAAAGTCATCTTGCGATGCCGCCAGTCTGGACGCTCGGATGCGTTGCACAGTTAACTCGGTCTGTTGAACTGGCTTTGGAATTGAACTGCTGGACGATGAAGCAACAATATGGTCTGAGATCCCAACCATGGTCATCTTGTTTTGACGCTGCAGTCTTTCCCAAAATGGCTTCTGCTTCGAAAACAAACCAGCCAAAGGACCCATCTGCCATGGTTGTTTAATGTCAGCGATGACCTTGTGAACCTGTTTTGATGCCATTTCATCTGCAGTTAGCTTGATGGACATGCTAACCGATGACAATTTGTTTGAAGGTGAAGCTACTGACTTGGGTGTCGGACGCATAAAAATGGGCACCCGACGGTCTGAATCTTCAGGAGCTGATCCCCCTTCTGTAGCGGCAGCATCATCACAGTCATCCATTGGCAATTCAAAAAGGTCTAAAGAATCAACATCACCCACAGGTTCCCAGCCATTGTTCGATTGTTGACAACTCGATGGGGAAAGTTCTGAAACATCTGCATGCAAAACTGGGGCGCCAGCGGCAGCGGCACTGCTTTGCCAACGCTCTCTGAACCCTTTGTATTCTACAACCATTACAGCAAAAGTTGTGATATGACTAGTCCCAGCTATGGTAGTGACATCTGTGTCTTGTGTGACGCCCTTCTGAAGTGCACCACTGATGACAGCCAGCCACACCACAACCAAAACAACAACCACCTGGCGCAGGCTCCAGCTGTAGGTTCCCAACCTCTTGATCTTGGCCGTCGTGTTGGGCTTGTCCAGCCGGGGCCACAGGGACGCCGAGGCGATGTGCAAGTTCTTGCAAAATCACAACCAGGAGAGAAATGATGCCGTAGTCAAATTAGAAACTTGCTGTGCATCCATCAACGCCTGTTTGCCGAAAATTATGGAAGGTAGAAGAAAAGGTTTTTTAACCCTCCCTACCTCACCCTTGATATGTAAAATGTCACACGAAAGTAGATTCAGATGTGTTACCAAGGGAGTTTGTGGAATTGTTTGGTTTTAAAAGGATGTTGAAATTTGGTTCAACAAGCAACGCATGTTGACGCAAGACAAGATTGAAGTTTAGATTTACTTCCGAGTTGCAAAAGTTTGATGGAAACTTTTGCACTGTTCTTTTAAAGATAGTGCTCTCACTTCGTGACAGCACTCATCCTTATCAGGTTTTTCTTCAACTGCACTCCAGGGTTTGGCCACCGGCCCTGGAGTTACTAAGGTAGCTTTGAATTAAGGTAGCTTTGACTGCACTCCAGGGTCTGGCCACCGGCCCTGGAGTCACTCAGGTAAGACAATCTGGGTCTGGACACCGGCCCAGGTATCACTAAGGTAGCTTCTGGCGTGTGGCCCTTACTTGTTTTCATCATAGTTCAACATGATGTCACTCCGGCACTGTAAGTTTAACCCTAATTTTCAGAACAATGCATGTTAATTTTCAACATGCTAAAATGGTTCTATTTCTATTTTTTTAATCTGGCAAGTTTGGCAAACACAGTCGTAGCAAAATATATCATTATTGCAACTAGACATGTTTATTTTTTCTTCCATGTCAGCCTTTTAGTTTGCACACTTGTCAGGTGACAGCAGAACAAGCAAAGCCATGCAGTTTACCATCATAAGTGATTCATAGACTCTAGTCTGATTTTTATCAATTCACAATGATGGATGACTCATAGTGGATTCATGGATGACTCATAGATGACTCATAGATGACTCACAGGTGTGTTGTAGATGATCCATAGATGATTTTAGTAATATGTTTATTATGTTGTTAGATAAATCCTGGCACTTTGTTAGTAACTGTATTGTTAAACTGCATGGCTTTGTAACGGTCTGGGTGTCCGACCGTGTTTGTTCTGCAGGCCCGGACTCCGGCCTGTTGTCACATGTCCTGGATTCCGGGACTACTAAGGGACCAAGGTAGACCCAGCGCCTGGCTTCCGGCGCTGGGTTCAGGGACTCCAACCCGTGCCTGGCTTCCGGCACCGGGTTTCAACAAGCTGGTCACTACATACCAGTGCCTGGATTCCGGCACTTGGTAGCCCTGAGCCTCCTTCTTACCAGTGCCTGGTTTCCGGCACTTGGTAGCCTTCTTCAGTCCGTTGCCCAGAGTCATCACAATCACCACCACCATCATCACCATTATCCTCATCACCATCATCATCACCACCAACATCTTCATCATCCTCATCCTCATCGTCATCATCATCATCATCATCCTCATCATAATCATCATCAACATCATCCTTATCATCATCATCATCATCATCATCCCCAAAATCCTCATCATCACACATCATCACAACCGTGATCACCGTCATGTGTCTCATATTTAAATGCATGTTCACAGCCATGTTCATCCTAATGTAAATCAACTAAGTCTGTTTTGCACTGTCTTTTTTGGGGTGCCACATTGTTTCAATGACCATCCCCATGGTCAAGTTCACCATTGCCTTTGATGTGATTAAGAAATTTGTGACCGGCCCCACACTAAACATCATCGGTACCATCAGCATGCTCCAGTGTCAGCTTCCTTATCCATAACCATCAACAACATGCTCACTCAGCATCACTTTTAATACTTTGATCATCAACCATTGATCAAAATTGTTTGGTGTATTGGTTGGTGAATCTGTCAAACAAATTAGACAACATATCCGTGAGATTGACCTGGTTTGACCTGAACTACCTTTTGTTCTGTTTCTCTCAAAAAGTTTTAGGTTTTGAGAGTGCCAGTCAGACACATCTTGATTTGTGAATGGTAGATGTGGGCATCCACCATGTGAATATCATCATTGTGTGGCACACTGGCCATGGCCAAAAGTTTCAATAACCTTCATGAAGACCGCAATAGGTTGTAGGCATGTTAGTATGAGCAAACATTGTGACACATTTTGATTCTGGCCTCAATAGACCCCTGTCCATGCTAACCAGCACCCAAGTTGAATAGTAAGCATCACCTTCGAGGTCTGCAATGCTGAAGTGAAGGAAACTGTCCGGATGTCCCAGACTGGACGGACACCCAGGTTGCTGCATGGATGCGGAAATACTTTCAAATTCACATCGAATCTGTTGAGTTTGCATTGTTGAGTTTGCACATTATTTGCATTTACTGTTTTTGGACATCTGTCATATATATCAATAGCAGCCTCATCATCATATGTTCATCAGCAGTGACACTTAAACTTTCACTCAAGTGAAGACTGACTTGCACTCCGTCGCAAAATGGAAGCATGCAATACAAACATATGAATGACAGTTTTTCCATTGGGAAAAAAGCCACAGGATCAAAAGAATAAGACAAGGATTTCAGATTTATACTGTAATGGTTCCTGATTTAGCTTGCCCAGTCTGAGGATGAACATGGAGCTGCAACATGGAAAAGTTCAAGCACTGAGTCCAGACCCTTGTATTGTGCAGTGTGTGGATTGCTTGACAAGCTGTGGTTTTTGCAACTTTCATTATCTGATTTGTTGAATTTCAATCAACCAATGTGGTTTCAAACAGCCAAGATGTCCAGGAAGTATCTGGTCAAGTTGTGCAAAACGTATTTCTAAACATGCACCTACCCAAGCTACTTTGGCAAACCAATGTCAGTGTCTGGCCACCGGCACTGATCATTTCTTTGCCTGTGTCAGGATACCGGCACTGGGCACTAAGGTTGCAGAAGCCAGTAATTTAATACTGCGGAACTGTAAGTAAAGGCAGCTGCATCCACCGTTTCAATTTTGAAAGCTGATGTGAAGTACTGCAGAAGGGTAGCAGTATACCACATGTGACATCCATAGGATGGTTTGTTGAAGGCCACACCCTAAACCAGAGGGGTTGTGGTTCAAAGAGCCGACTGCCACAAACGTGTGGCTCAAGATGCACAAGCTGGAAAAGTTGCTGCCCCGGCTTGTTTTCTGCGTCTCGGCAGCACCGCGGGTTATGAGCCCAAGGCGGCCGTAACTTGCCATGATGGATCGTCGAAGAGAAAGCAGCATCCGTCGAAGGGAAGCTGAAGCAGGACCCGTTGAAGAGACCGCCGAGCAACAGCTGGAGCGCATGCAACAAGAGCTCCAGCAGGAAGTTGTGGATCGACCGGCTTCAGAGGGCTTCGCTGCTGCAGAATTTCTGAGTGTGGGTGTTGAAAGTGCAGTTGAAGAGGAACGTGGGGGAGAACCTCCTCGAACCGTAGACACAGCTGCTGAGGACCTTCGAGGTTCTGGTGAGACGGTTGGCGTTCGAAGGGTGACTGTTCCTGATAGCACTGCGGGATCTTCTGGACACGGTGGTGAAGGGTCGCAAAACCGAGTTGCAGGACCTCCCAGGTCTTTTGCGCCAGCAGTTCTGTCCACTGCAGCAGGTGTTCCTCCGACAGTTTCTGGGGAAAACTTAGTAGCTGAGGTGGTTAGGGAACCTGTTGGGTGGGAGGTTGGTCCACGGTTGTTCCCACAACAAAGTGCGAGTGATCAGGGAAGGGTTGCTCAAATGGTTGGTCATGATGGTCGGGATGTCCCAAACCAAAGTGCAAGTACCATGTTGGATTATCCTCCGGGGTTTGAACAGCAAGCTTCTTCAAGGGATCTTATGGTTTTGGGTAATGCTCAACAAACAGTTCAATGGGGTGACCGAACGGTTCCTGTCGCTGTCAACCCGTTCTGGAGCCCGGAAAGGAAGGCTTATGAACGTATGGAGGTTGAATGGCAGAGGCAGTTAATGGTCCAGAATGGTAGCATGGATTGTGGCCGAGTTCAAATGGTTGAGCGGCCAAGCCACTTGGATTTACAGTCTCCTCAGCAAGGGTTTCAGGGGAATCGGCCACAGGGGTCTAACCTCGAAACGCCACAAAAGGGTGTGGAAATGGATCCGATTGAACTTTTCCGTTTGCGGTGTCTCAGAGAGGCCGAAGAAAAGTTCAGGGTTGGTGTTGAACAAATGACGCAACAACAAACCAAGGGTAAGGGTGATAGGGATGGATCAAAAATGATTGGTACGGGTCAGGATGTGTCCTCTCAAGCCTCTTATGCCTCTGCGGTATCACATGGAGTGGCTAGCCTAGGGTTCACACCACCTCCTCCTCCAGGTCCGCCACCTGCTTCGCCAGCTAGGGATGGTAGTTGTAGCTTCATGGTTGATGGTGGGAGTCAACCTCCACCTCCGCCACCACCGCACTATCCACCGGTTCCACCAATGCCTGGTTTTGATGGTAGTTTCAAGGGGTCAGGGTTCTTAGGAGAAAACCCGACTGAAAATCTTCGTACTTGTGAGCTTCCACGGTTGGTTTCTGATTCCACGCCTTTACAATTTGGTGATTGGTGGAACATGATCGATAGCCATATGGGTGACCTGTCGTATTCCTCAAATGTGTGGTGGAGTATGGTTAAGGGTTCTGTTGAACGATGTTACAAAGAATGGCTAACTTGTGAACCAGTGGCTCGGCTTCGGTTGCGTCCTCGGTTGGATCCAACGGCTCAGCACTGGCCACGAACTGAGCGACGTGCCTTGGCAATGTTACTGCAAGCTATTCCGGAAACTATTCGGGATGACGTGGTGGCCTCCAGGAAACTCACGGTTGACCAGGTCTTGTTCAAATTGTTGATCACCTTCCAGCCTGGAGGAGCTGGGGAAAAAACTCGGTTGCTTCAAGCCATCACGGGTGGGGATTGTGGTAACACGGTTCATGCGGTAGTTGATTGGGTCAGGAACTGGCGTAGGAACGTTACCAGAGCCAGCGAGTTGGGTTTGACACTCCCGGATTCCTTGGTTTTGGTGGGTGCCTTACAGGGTGCTACGGAATGGCTCAGTCAAAGATCCCCCCAATTGGCCTATCGGTTGAATTTGGTGAGACAACAATTGTCCTTGGATCAACAACCTACTTTTGGGGATGTTTGGACGTTTGTTGATCATCTTCAAGCTGAAGCCGAGGACCTCCTGAATGCTACAGGTACTGTTGCCATGAATCCCGCAAATTCCCAACAAAACTCCAAGGGGACCACCAATAAAGTGGGTATCAAGGCTTTGCAACAGGGTGCTCATGAAGGGTATGGTAACCCCAAGGGTAACAATGATGGTTCAACAGACAGGAAGGGTTCAGTTCCAAAGGGTGTTCAAGCTGTGAATGCCGATTCGGTTAAGTCCACCAATCCTTGCAGGTTTTGGGGCACTGAAGGGGGTTGTCGTAGAGCTGACAAGTGTAAGTTTGTTCACACTGTGTTGACCAGTAAAGAGAACCGATGTTTTGGTTGTTCGGGTACGGGTCACGCAAAAAAGGATTGCCCTCACATGCAACCAAAGGAATCCAAAAAGGTAGCCAAGTCGAAGGTTAAGGGAAGTCCTGACAAGCCTTCTGAAGCTGCTTCTGTTGGGGGGAGTGAAACGGTTGAAGGAAGTGTGAAGGTAGGTGAGAGTAGCTCTTCCTCGGCTCCGGCCGACGACCAAAAGAAAGGCTCCTCAACCCCTCCGGGGGACAGTACTGGAGGAAGTCAGTTGGATGCATTGCTGAGTGAAGCTGCGCTGCTGATGAAGTCACTGAGACCTAGTTTGAAAATGGTTTCTCTCAAGAAAATGGAACATGGTGAACTGGCGACCGGGCTCCTGGATGGAGGTGCAACAAACGCTCTCAGGGTTGGGTCACCACAGGAACTTCGAAATGCCATTCCTGTCCAGGTGGAGTTGGCCGCTGGTTCCATTGAGCTTTACCAGGACGTGCAAACGGGCACGTTGTTGTCCCACCAACATGTGGAGCCGATTGTCCCTGTCCGGGGACTGATCTCCTTAGGATACCGGGTGAAATGGGACAGCCAAGGATGTGTGATTCTGCATCCGCAGCGAGGACGGATCCGCAGCTGGTTGCGGAATGGGTGCCCTGTTGTCACTGAGGAATGCGCATTGCAACTCATAGCCGACATAGAAAACCAAGAACGGTTGTATCGCATGGGTCCGAAACTGGCTGCAGGGAAGGTCTCAACGCCTGTTCAGGAATGGTGGTCTCAAAGGTTTCCAGATGTTCCCCAAAGAATTTGGGATCACATGGTCGGTCAGGATCTGGGGATGCCAAAGGGCGAGGATTTACCATGGAACCGTAGGAGCCGTAGGAGATTTGACCAAGCTAAAGGGTTGGTTATCCACATGTTTTCAGGAGATGCCCCGTCATCCAAAAAATGGACGCAAGGTTGGCCCCCTGGCGTTGAAGTGATCACTGTGGATACCAGTACAAATCCCCTCCAAGATGTTCACCAGGCTGCGGTTTGGGGGTATCTCTGTCACATTGCTGCAACAAAACCCATTATAGCAGTGATTGGCGGTCCGCCCTGCCGAAGTGTCTCTCGGTTGCGAAACGTTCGCCCTGGTCCTGTTCCTCTTCGAGGTCGATATGAGGACCGGTTTGGGTTGCCTGGCCTGTCAGCTGCAGATCAGCTCAAGGCGGACAGGGATGCTGCTTTGGTTCTCAAGCAACAGGGTCTTTTGTGGATTGCTGAGGAACACCGTGCCTTGGATTCGCCACCGGTGGGGTACTAAATGGAATCCCCCGAAGATCCTAAGGTTGTGTTTGGGGAAGAGGATGCCCCATCATTCTGGAGTTGGCCCGAGGTGATCAGTTTCACCGAACGATTCGGTTTGGGTACTGTGTCTTTTGATCAAGGGATGTATGGTCATCAACAACGGAAACCCACGACTTGTTTAACCAATCTTCCACTCATGGGTCATTTGCATGGTGCTAGGTGTTCCACGAATATTGGTGAAGGGTTGCATGAAAATCTCCAACAACGCTTTGCTCAAACGGCTAGCTGGTCTTCATGGGCTCCCGGGTTGAAAAAGGCTATTCACACCTCCCTGTTGCTGTTGTGTCACATGCATGGTTTTGGGAACCAAGGTATCAAAAAGGTGTTGGATGTTCAAGGATGGAAACAGCACATTCACCAAGGTCATGTTCCTTACCGCCGAGATTGTAGGGCATGTATCATGGACATGGGGTCAGGAAAACCACACCGTCGGCAAACCGCTGGTGGAACGGCTTCATGGACTATGGCTGTAGATATGGTAAATGCCTAGTGGGGTGGATGAAACCACGGGGTACAAAGCCAAGTACATGTTGTTGGCTACGGTTGCGGTCCCCCAATTTGGTGATCAGGCTTCAGGTACTCAAGGTGCTGATGACAAGGGTCAAAAGGGTGAGGGTATCCCCACCGAGCCACCAAATTCGGAAAGTCCCGATGGTCCACCAGTTGATGACTGGGGGGAAGGTCTGGACGAAACTGTGTTTCCACTTGAGCCTCCAGTGGACATGGATGCGGACAAACCTGAGAAGCCTGAGAGTGATCTTGTTATTCCAAAGCCACCCTCCGGGGAACGGCCGGATCTTGGTGTTGAGTCTGACATGTCTCAACTTGTGGATGCATGTTCCGCTCCTCTGCAGGTACAACAGGTGACAATCATTCACCCCATGGAATCCCGTCATGCTAGTCAAGTCGTGCATGGTTTGAACACGGTTTTGACTCGGTTCAAATATATTGGTATTCATGTGGTTCGCGTACACAGTGACCGTGCCAAAGAATTCCTTTCGCATACTATCCAAAAATGGATAGCTGCTCAGGGTATTGTCCAAACTATGACCAGTGGAGATGACCCAGCTGCCAATGGTCGGGCCGAAAGTGAAGTTCACCAGGTGAAGCGTAGGATTCGGTTTTTGTTGCGCCAGTCTGGTGAACCCTTGTCCCATTGGCCGGTGGCCGCTCGGTATGCTGCTGAACAGAGAATGCGGGTCCAACTCTCAAAGTTGGGTTGCAACGTGTTGCCGATGCTGCCGTTTTTCTCCCAAGTGGCTGTGAAACGTAAACGGTGGCACCAACCTGGTGCATTAGCTCCACCTTTTGTCAGTGCTCGCCTCCTTTGTGCCAGTCACTTGATGTCTTCGGGATGGGTGGTCAGAACAGACCAAGGTCAAGTCATGCATGTGAGAGAAGCTGTCTTGCCCTCTCCTCTTGGAGACGAAGTGGCATTACAGCTCCAGGAACAACCAAGGGGGGAGCTGGTTATGAGTGAAGAACCTTACCCTGCAAAACCACGCATGAGGGTTTACGGTAAACAACCCCCCGAAGGTCAGGTTCGGTTTTCTGTTCCTCGTTCCTTGGATGCTCCAAAAGATGGAGCTGTCAGTGTCTTGGGTCCTCCGCTTCGAGGCAGTTTCTTGGATGCTCCGTTGGGGGGAGCGGCTTCATCTTCGTGTGCCTTGGATGCTCCTGCTGGGGCTGTCGGTGACTTGGATGGTGACTCAGATGGGTACTCGCAAAGCATCTTGGATGATGCTGACGTCGGTGCCTTGGATCCGGAAGAGCCTTCCGGGGGGGAGCCTCTTGGTGGAAGTGGTCCAAGTATTTCAAAAATGGTTGAACAATCAGTAGTGCGTAGGGTGAAAACAGGGTTTCTCAAGGATGTGTTGGAGGAGAACCACCAACAAGTGTTGAGCCAAATGGATGAACTATTGAACCAAGTTCCTATTGGTGAACAAGAGGGCAAGACTTACGGGAGTTCATTGGCCAATCTTCAACAAGAAAGAGAAAACCCTTGAACACGCCCTAACTGAACTTGAACAACTTGAAAAACGAAACCTGGTCAAACTTTGTAGTACTCAGGTCACTGGGAGCTTGCCCAGTAATGTGCACCTTGGGGAGAATGGTGAGGTGTTACAAACTGTGGTAGTATCTCTGGACGAAGTCAAGAAGGATATTCAGTCATGGGTCCCCGCTATGTTGAGTGAATACCGTAGTTTAACCGAGGAAACCCAAGCCATCGAAAAGGTTGATGTGAACCAATTGGATGATTCGGCTGTGGAGTATGTACCCGGTAAACTGGTTTGTACCGTCAAGGCTGGACCAAATGGAGGCCGTAAGAAATGCCGTGGGGTAATATGCGGTAACCTCTTGGACTCATCGAGTGACCCATTGCCAGGATCCGCCTACGCTTCAGGAGCTGATGGTCCGTTAATTCGGACTGTGTTGCATCATGGTGTTCAAAGAGGTTGGGGTGCGTCCACGGTGGACATCAAGACCGCCTTTCTGTTGGCTCCTCGGCCTGTTCCGGAATCTGGGCGGGAAACGATAGTGGTGCCTCCTCGAACCTTGGTGCTAGCGGGGGTTTGCAGTCCTACCGAACGTTGGCGGGTGCGGAAAGCACTGTACGGTTTTCAGAGCTCTCCAGCTCGATGGGCTGAGCACAGGGATGGAACGCTCAAGGTCTTTATTTAACAGCCGTTCACCTCAACCTCCTAGCGTACCTAGCACCGCGTCCCTGTTGCGCGTTCCGCTTTACTACAAAAAACGCACAGTACAATTTCTCAAAATTGCATCCAAACTTAAAATTAAAAATTCTAAAGATATATATATATATAAATATATATATATAAACTCAATAATATATATATATATACAAACATCAACGACGACATGCACTCACGTGGCTGACACTCTGAAAACAAACGACTGTTCAGCTGCAAAAACCGATGCCGCATTTTCTCACATTCTTCTTTTGGATAATGGGGAGTCGGAGCACCCAAGCTTTGCGATCAGATCTTTATCCTCACGCCCGGAGGGGGAATTTTTAGGGCGGGCGGGTCAAACCTCTGGGCAGTGAGACTTGTTTCCCACCCACCCACCCTTGAGTTGTAAAAAGAATCGGATTCAGAGACCTTCAAATAAACAACCACTTCAGCACACACAAGTTGCGAAGAGAGCACAACCGAAAACAGTTAAGGAAGACTGCACACAGAAAACCAAAACTGTTTAAAAACGGAAAACACCTTTTCCAGGTTGTGATTTGTTTCAGGTAAGGTTGCAGAGGCACACCACTGAACCCGAATGCATAAGGACGCGGGAGACGCAACGCACGCGTAGGAGGAAAGAGGACGGTGGCTTCCCACCTGTGAACTAGTCAAATAAAGGCTCCACACTAAAGTGAGGCGCAACTTATTTAACAGCCGTTCACCTCAACCTCCTAGCGTACCTAGCACCGCGTCCCTGTTGCGCGTTCCGCTTTACTACAAAAAACGCACAGTACAATTTCTCAAAATTGCATCCAAACTTAAAATTAAAATTCTAAAGATATATATATATATATATTAACTCAATAATATATATATATATACAAACATCAACGACGACATGCACTCACGTGGCTGACACTCTGAAAACAAACGACTGTTCAGCTGCAAAAACCGATACCGCTTCTTTTCACATTCTTCTTTTGGATAATGGGGAGTCGGAGCACCCAAGCTTTGCGATCAGATCTTTATCCTCACGCCTCCACCCCATTTCACCAACACTAGTGAGGATCGTATATGGGATTGCATCTTTGGAAGCCAAGTCGTTCAAGGGCAGCAAATTGAAGACGTGACGCATCGTCGCTGATATTGGACTTTGATGGAACACGGGAGTACCAGTTGAGGCATTGCAACTGCACATCCAATCTGGCGTTCAGCCTGAGCAAGTCGTAATTCTCGAGCACAGGTGAGTATGCCCTGATCATTGAGGCCAACGCTGAATTGTTGTCAATAAACCACAGGATCAAACGGCCCTTGATTATGGAACCCCAGGTCATCTTTGCAACCAGTATGGGGAAAATCTCAGCCTGACAAATCATCTGTCGTTTTCCTTCCCTCCTCCACTGATCCAACCATTCAATAAGTACCTTGTCACCAAACATGTAAGAGGAGGAGGACTCCGGGTCAAAAAGGACGGCACCATGAGTCACCAGCTCACCGTTTTCCTCGCAAGCACCGTCCGTAAAAATGACCAAGGGTCGACGGCCTGACCACGCTTGCACTGACCTGGGCCCTGATTCTGCTAAACAAGAAAAAGCATCTCGCAGCGCCAGCTTTGCTCTGTTGTCCAAAAGAATGAGAGGACCTCTGTGAGTTACCCTGGCAATGAGCTGCAGGGCAAGCTGGGTGCATCTGCCAAAAGTGTGCCCTGCCGCGTACAATAGCCTCCCCTTCAGGGTTTCCAAAGTAGATGCCGTGACAGAGTCGGCTTCACACACAGACTCTACCAGAGACCTAATGTCATTGATCCGGCTTTCCTTGTTCTTCACCAGTATGGTTCCCCGCGAAGAGCTTGACAAATCAATCACTGCACCTAACATGTTGAACTGGCTGTTAAAGGGGAGGCGCTTGTCATCTGAAGCTGAAATCCGCCATCCAAGAAGCTTCATGACCATCTCGGCTGTCTCCCAAGCGGACTGGCACAAACCGTCCACTTCCAGTTGACAAAAATCGTCAAAGAAATTTGTATTGACCAGCATGAAAAGCTCCGACATAATGAGCTTGAGCGCCCTAGCCATGCGGTTGAATGACATCACAGCACATACTGAACCAAAGGGAAGAGAGATGGACTCAAAGAATTCCACAGAAGAAGTAGAAGGATTCCAAACTGCGAGAATGGAAGCCCAAGAGTCAGCAGGGCTCCTAGCCAGCTGTTTATAAGCTGCCTTCAAATCCAAAGCCCGTCCACTGAGATTTCGCCAAGGCCCTGTGCAGCTACCCCAGTTTGGGTCACACCTGAGGGCGTTGAAGTCATCATCTACCTGTAGAGCATCACATCCCAGAAAAGTTCGTGCTGTATTTACCACCTCGTCAATTCCAAATAGCTGCAGCTTCTCTGTTGCCGTCACTGAAGCGTTGACCAAAAATTCAGAAAAATCATCCACAGCCCGGATCTTGCTTGGGCCTTGTCTGACCCCAAAGCGTTTGGAAGGAACCCAGCACCCTCCATGTCGTTGGTCAAGCTGCTCCATTGTGAAAGGTCCTGTGACCCACCCGTCCTCCAGCTGTTTCATCGTCTCCTCATAAACTGCTGCCGCTATCTCAGGATCGTTACCAACACGCCTGCAGGAAGCGTGTATCGCCTTTCGAGCCCATACGGACGACTCCTTCAACTGGGAGACTGAAATCGTCGCAGGCTTCAGCTTAGCAGGAAATTGATTTGACGGCGGCATGCGCCCTGTAAGACCAAAACCAGACTTAAGCTCATCAAATAACGTCTCATCCCCCACGCCTGCTTCCTGTGCCATCTCCTGGAAAAGTAGTAGGCGCTTGCTCTCCAGAACTTTGCGCACATCCGGATCAAGGGAGTCCTTCAGATGCTTCTCTTGGCCAGCTAGAGCGGCCGCCCTCTCCGTGAAGCGCTTTAGTTGTCTGGCGCGGAAAAGTTTCACATCCGCAATGCTATGGTCACGAATAAAACAGATAGCTCTCAAGTTACTTCTGTCCACCAGTTGTGGGGTGTCCAGCGGGTGTTCCAGCTCAAGCGTCCTCTTGAAAAACTCCAGAGGGGAGAAGAAAACGCCAAATGTTGACTTCTGGCCCTGCTGCTTCTCGCCATCCACCCCTTTCCAGACCACATTTCGAGAAGCAATCAGTTTCGAATTGATGGGAATGCCCTGAAAAGGAAAAGAAACAGAGTCACCAATGTGCTGGGGAACTTCGACATCATGGGAAGTTGCGTCCACCTTGCATTTGAACTCGCTCATGAGGATGGGCGATTTGACACCACGTGGTTGTGTCCCAGCTCCAATACGCTGGATCTGGTCCTCTTGCACATTGTGACTGGTCAAGAACTTGCCTTGTGCGTTCAAAGCTTCCATAAAAGCCACTGCCAGGTGACGTGATAACTGCAGTGGGTACTCAGTCTCAAGGCTTGTAGAAAATTTCAAGCCTTTTCCATCCTGTTGGTCAACCATTCCCCAAGGCAAATGGCTATGAGAATCATCGCATTCCGACTGCAGATTTGGAGCTGTGAAGTTCAAAAGTAGGGCCGTGCTCTTTCGGCGTCTGCTCCCATACATACAAGCATGAATGTATTGAAAACGACATTGTTCAGGCAAATGCTCAAAGGCGTCAGTCAGCCACATTAACGACCGTTTTGGGTTCTCACAAATAAAAGGTATTTGCAGGGAGATGCACAGTTCAATAACTCTCCTTGCAAAACGGTACAGTGAATTTGCAGACTGCACCTTCAGCTTCGCAACTCCTTTGAGCCAAGGAAGTCCATTTGGGAAGTGGTCACTGCGCAAAGGCTGAGGCTGCATGCCACTTCTAAGCCTCATCCGTCTTGGGATAGGAATCTCCCTAGCCCTTGAAGAAGTACCACATGGAGGCGCCAACATGACGCAATCTACTTTGCCTTCTGTCATCCACTGCTCCACTGTTTGTTGTCCTTCCTTTGTCAACAAATCCACCTTGGCCACTGGCCCCTTGACTCGACGTTTGTCGATTAAATGATCCAATCCCAATGCTTCACCACCCAGCGTTTGAAAAGCAGCTGCGACACCTGCCGTTCCACTAAACAAATCCAAAAGAAAAAGTTTCCGGCCTGGTTGTGCTTTCACCGCCGGTTCGCTGGCGTTGTCAACTTCTTGAAACCCAGCCTGAAAATCATGGGGCGACCCTTTGTCTTCGCCCGTCTGAAATGATGCCTGTCCTTCGACAGGTTTTGAACCAGCGTCCAAGCGCATTCGCTTGAGAGGTGATTCGGCTCGAAGATGGCTTTCATCTTGAGCGGCCTTGCTGCGCTTTCGCAACAATGCCACCAACGGACCCTCGCCCGTACTTTCAAGGCCTAGTCAGGCCGACTGCTTGTGTGCTGAAATAAAGGAGTGCCTCTTTCCGCAACCCTTTTTGCAGCACGTGTGTGCCCCCTTAGGGCAATCACCAGAACTCTTGCAGGTCCCCAAGTTGAAGGCGAAGCAAAAAGGGTTGCCCTCATCATCACAGGGCACCCCTCCCACAAGTTGCTTCGGCATGGGAGTGCGCCTCAACTTCTTGAGGTTGGTGGCATTGGCCCGAGTCTTCTTCGTGTCAGGTTTCTTTTTGGTGCTGGGCTCCGGTTTGTCCTTGATGACTGGCACCTCAGGGCCTGAAGTCTTGGCCGTACCTCGTTTGGGCAATGGCATCAGCATCCATCGTAGCTCAGGCCCCTCCAGTATTTCAATGGTGCTCAAGTCCAGCGGCAATTCACCATTTGGCCCCGGCACCAAACCAGCTCTGGTGCGCTCAGCAAGGCGCACATGCAGTTCACGATCGGCCGCTGCCAACTGCTGCAAGGACACCGCAGCAAAACCTTCCAAGGGCTCCTTTTTCAGCTCGAAGAAGAGGAAGTTAATCACTCGCTCATGCACCTCAAAGCTCATGGCCTGAGCCACTTCATACGCCACTCCTCTGCGCCTCAGCGCATTGTGAACATCCAGCTCGGAGGCCAAGTTGGCGGTAATCGCCGGTTCCTGCGGCGCTGCTTTGATGTTTCCAGAGCTGTCTGTCTTCCAAATTTTCATACCACCATCTTCCTTCACGTTGTTCACTTCCTGAGTTCTGGAGGTACACTTGGCCCACTCTATGTAGCGGATCCGACCATCCTCCACACACTGAACAATTGCGTTGATCAAGTGATGGGACGGCTCCAGCACATTGGCAATCAAGATGGGATTGATCCTGGCTTGTAACAAGGTGAGCCGCTGCGATATCTCTGGAGCTGGCAGCTTCCTAGGAGCTTCCTGTTCTGTTGAATCGACCTTCCTCCTCAGGTCAGCCGAGGTCAAAGTATGCGCCTCAAAAAATAGGCGCCGCAGCTTAGGAGCCGCCACATGATCCGCTTGGCCCAACACGGGTATCAGAACCCCGTCTGCAAAGGCCTGTTCATCTGCACCAGGCTGTGTCGCCACAGCAAATGCGAAGGTGGCGTGTGTCGTCCACCCCCGCAGGCCCAACGCTTGAATCACGTCATCTGTCAACCCTATGGTTCGAGCTCTGCCCTCAAAGACAGCGGTGCTGTCCACCAGAGACATGGCCAGGCCGCCACTAAAGGCTGAGAGTTGAAAAACAAAAATGAACAACTGAAACATGAGTGACCGCAGACGGTACGAACCACCTTCTATTCACG